AAAATTTGGGTACACAAGCATCTGATGAAGCTTTGTTAAAAAACAAGCTTCAAGAGATCAACCCTAAGTTTGCCTTGTCTCAAATTATGTCTACTGGTGGTACCAACTTACAGGAAACAAAATTTGGAAAATTTGCAAGTGGCTCATATGCAAGTTACCAGTTACAGTTCACAGAGTCTAATTTTCAAGTTTTCTGCAATATTGACTCAGTGCCTAGAGTGGACTGTAATGATGAACAAAATGCTATTTCCGTATATCCTCCATTCCCTTTGCAACAATCTGAGCAGTATGAAAAGCCAGATGATTTAAGTAGCAACCAGGAAGCACTCCTGGATCATTTGATTGTTGATGAGGCAAAGCTTAATACCATAGAGAAGAAAACAAGTGAACAAGCAGCCTCACAGGAATGGCAGGCTGAAAGGAAATTTTGGTATACAGCATCTAATTTCCACACAATTGTAAAAAGGCAAAGGAATCATAACACTCTAGTAAATAATCTGCTTCATCCCAAACCATTCACTACCAAACAAACTGCACATGGGAAAACCTATGAGCCTGTAGCCTTAAGAGAATATGAAAAATATATGTTTTCAACAAGGAACCCAGTTTCAGTGTTCAAAAGTGGCCTTGTTGTCAGTATGGCCTCTCCCTTTTTAGCAGCATCACCACATCATGATAACTAAAAGCTGCTGATGAAGTACAGGTTCCAGAAGTTGCTTCAGCTGCATCTGCAGTTGTTTGACTTTGTGATGATTGCAATTCTTGTTTGAACACTCTGTTGTAGACGAAAGATTGCGACATTTAGGAGGTGCTCGCTTTTTCGGAGAACCTTTGGACCACGAAAATCGAGATGGAATTACCCCTGCTTTTACATAAACACGCTGACCTCCAATAGCTTTAACCAAGTCCTCGGGCTTAAAATGACGAGAACAGATCTTCGTGTTTTGGTTGACTCTAAACGCTTTTCCTTCGTCTCGACGAATGGCATGGAGCCAACGTTTTTTGACGATAACGTCGTCTGGAAACTTCAAGTAAGAAATTTTCTCCCCGTTTTCGGTTCTGTAATTCTTTTTGCGGCATTTTCAAAAACTGGCGCCCTTCACATCAGGCGGCCATTTTTATTTACCAGGCCCAACTAGCCTCGTTTTCAAGTTGATCGCTCCCAGTCTCTTTTCGTTCTGCATAGGGTGAATAACCTATCTCTCTGCTTCTCTCTGCTATCTCTCTGAAGATTGCCGGCTTTCACAACCAGTCCCCTCGATTAACTATGGTTTCAGTGATCGGTATGTGAGCGTTTACTTGGGGTAGAAGAGCACAGAACACGTCATCACAATGGAATGTGCTGCCTATAAAATTAATCAGCTTATCGGTAATCTTGCATAATTGCCATGATAATTTCTTTTTCTCACGCAACAATTTCTCATTCTCAACACCTAATATTTATTTTTCGGTATATTGCTATATCAGTCTTTTTCTCGATTAACGTGTTTTAATTGATAACAGTTTTTCATTCTCGGACAATGATTCCTATTTCTCATGTGGCGATTTCCCAATCTCACCATCGATCACTGAAACTCGGTGGATAATTTTGAACCCAACCCATTTTTGTTATGTTTGGCTTGCCATAGAATGCGATGCTTGACGTACTCTCTAAACTCGCGGAAAGAGGGCTTCTATTGAATTCTAAAGATAACAAACCAAGAGTGTTTTTTGCATCATTGAACAATGAAAAAAATGAGCTGCAGCGAAGTATCGGGCGATGTTCCGAGGATGACAATGGCTCTGGGATCTGTCAGAATACTATTGTCACGAAATGATTGAGATGCTAGTGACCCAGTGGGCTGTGCATGAGGTTGTAAGAGAGTTAGTTACTTGCTAATCACTTCCAAACAAGCCAATCAGCGCGAGCGAAATACACTATCATGTGTGTGGTATATTGTAACTCGCGACATCGGCATAGGATAAAATATGGTCTAGACGATTAGACCCTTAGACTATTGGGCTATTTTTTGGACCATTAAATAGAACCATTTTTTTGGACCATCTTTTGGGACCTTTTTTGGACTGTTTTATTGGGGGGGAGGTAGACTATTAGTACTAAGGGAGGGGTGGAATGCAGTCTATCAATACTTAGGTAGAGGTGGGAGGTGGTCGTATTTGTAAATGCTACTGATTAATGGAGTTTTTAATGGATCATACAAAGCGTTGTAGTAAAATCGTTAAATCAAGTGAATAAACCATGACACACTAAGAAAGCGTGGTACAGCTTTCTTACGTTTTGGACATTAAAAAAAATTTTCCAGGTCATTCGGTTTGATTTTTGGGAACTTTTCTCTGGTAGCTTAGGAAAGTTGCAGAAAACCCGGTGAGACGCAGTACGTCTGAGCAGGCTATTGTTTTAGCTGGGGGATATTCAGTAACGTGCTGCGTTTAGACCAATCGCTCATGGCGGAAATGTTTTAAGGGCCATAAACGAAGTAATTTTTATTTATCATGAGATTCAAGCAAATCAAAGTAAGAAAAAAAAGAAAAAAAAGTTGCTTCCGGGCTGAAAACGAAACTGAACAGCATTTAATATTTAAATGTACATAGAATTGATATATTGGTGCGCCAGTGTGTCATACAATGAAGAAACGCGCAAGGAGAAAAGTTTGCTTCACTCTTGACGACCCTGTACGTGATTGAAAAGAATTAGCATTTACCCCCTAGAATGTTAATTTTTGGCGCTCTCAGCGAAAAGTTTGCTCTGTAAACTGAGTTAAAAGTTATTTCGGGTCATTCGATTTGATTTTCGGTAATCTTTCTTTGGTAGTTTAGGGAAGGATGTTGTTTGCAGCTAACTCAGTGAGACGCAGCACACACGAGCAGGCTATTATTTGTGTGCAGTTATTGACAGGTGAGGGAGTAGGCTGGTGGCATATGATAAGGCAGTTGGACAAAAGTAAAAGGACTGTAAAAGCGCTCGTGTGAGATCGGTTAATTGGAGCAGATCGTGTCTTTGGCGAGAGGGGCTGAAACACCGATTCAGAGGAAACAATTCTTATTCTTTCCACTAAGCTCTTGGCATTTTTTAGAGTATAGAAGAGCTTCGCAATAATCTCATTCTGAGTGAATACAAATCTGCATCACAGGTTGGCGATATCGACAAGAAGTAATCAAAGCCTACTATACGCCTTGTATTTTGGTTTGCAACTAGTGGTGTCACGATTCTAAGTTTGCCTTTTAATTTTCTTAGCATAATCTGAAATGTCCAAATATTGTCGTAATCGCACAACTTGGATCATGATTGTTGTTCATCTTAGTTGCCGTAGGACACACTCTGTCCTGCTCGGACGCTAGCCATACAGCTCTGCTTTGGGAAACAGTGGAATTCTCGGGAAACAAAATAAGTAGTTGGAAGCGTAATAGTTATTTACCGCCTGATCTGAACCTGGTGTAGTATGTTTGGCGGCGTCACATCTTACTGGGTCTTGGTCTCCTGATCACAAAATGCAGATTGCTTTTTACCTCTTTTCTTTTAAATTTTTATTTCCCCAAAATATCGTCGAACAAATAAGTTATGAATACAGTAAAATCCCATTCAGCAAATTTTTCTTAATAATAACAGAATGATAGCAAACGAACCATATCGTCATAGACAACAAATATCAGAATACAACACGGAGAAAATTTCCATGCTCAAATAATTGCGTGTAAACTGGACAGTAGAATTCAGGAGAGCGATGAAAACGTTTGGCGCCGACAACTTCGTAACTTACGACTAGGTAAATAATTACCAAAAAAACTCTTGATGCATTTAAGCCCATGCAGCGCAAATAGCTCTAAAAGCCCACATTGTGCAAATGTTTTTGAGAAGACCCGATGATTACCAAAGAAACCCGCAGATCTCCGGAGACACTCCGAAGAGTCTTCTCATAAAAGCTCCGTCCCTATGCGACCCTCTCTAAGATTTAAAGTTTCGATAAAAATAGGGTCACTTATGAAAACTTTCTTTCTTTATTCTTCCTAGGGATTATTCTGATATATTTTAAGAAAATTTGTCTCTTAAAGTTGTAAAAACGCTTGTTAGGAATGGGGAGTTGGCCGGTTGGCGTGAACTAATGTGAAATCCAAGTCGTTGATCTTCAGTCGTGAGAATTGTCATGAAGCAGAGGATAGTTGGTGAGAGAGAGAAACTTCTACCGATGGGTTGGACGAAAGGCTCCATCAAGGCTGCACCGATCAAAATAAATTTTCTGAATATTAAAGCAACTTGCAATCGCGCCTAAAACAGAAGGTATCCTGGTAGCATTGCGATTAAACACCCTGTAGAAGTTAAATTTCCACTATATAAACGAATGAAGTCAACGGAAAATTTAAGCACTTCGTAGGTAATTCTACAAAGTTTTAGATAAAGAAGGAAAGTAGCTTGAATTTCAGACGCAATTCAGTAAAACTTACTTGTAAATTATTCATCTCATCCAAAGTAACCTTTCATAATTCTCGTCAGAAAGTCTCAATACAGAAATCTGATTGGTGCGATTAACATAAAGTTGTCGTAACTTTGTGATTGGTACGGGAAACGTACCGTGTGGCTGCGCCGTCTTTTAGGTGATAATGACGGCAGGTTCCTTAGGTCGGAAGATTTGTGGGACTTTTTCGTCCCTGTCGACACGCCCTTTGGTGAGTGTGCAAGCCGATCCTTGATCTGCACACACTGCCACACCTTTGGCATATAGCTCTTTGGTAAGCGCAAGCAACTTATTGGATTAAGTAGCTTGGAATTAAAGAGAATTTTTAGAGTCAAGGAAAAATATAGTTAAAATCTATACTTTGGTGATCTGATCCGTGCGAATAACAAAACTCCAATGTTGACATCTGACTGGGTCCGTATGGATTGTGCTAGCATACTTTTTGGCCCAGTTTCTTGTGCCTTAGTCACTCTTCTTTATCACTATCGTGCCAATATTACTCATGTTCCCAGTAATGCCCCAATAAGGAAGAATTCCCGGCGCTGCCCCTGCATAAACCGCTCCTAGTACGGCATTAAGTGCAGCAGAATCCAGTGGTAACAATGTTTTATAAAAGCAAGTATGCTTAATCAACAATAAAAATACATGATTTGGACTTGTTTTGTGTTTCTTTTTTAAAAAGCATACTTTAGGAAAAAGCAGCATAATTTTCCAAAACGAGCATAATTTTGAGCTTTATGTGGGAAAAATCGAGCACCACTATTAACATAATTAGTTACTTTCAAAAGTTCAATATATACAGGCCTACATCTGACACCTTCTCCATGTCTGTACGAGTTTTATACTTCGGTGGGTAAACGACTTCCACACCAGGCGAGAAGACATACTGTAAACAATGATTGAATTTAATGAACAAATCAAATTTTCTTCACTGCCATTTATTGTATGCTTTTATTGCATGTGCTTTAGTGGCCAAACTCAGAACCAGTGCCATGTGAGAAGGAGCAGATTTGTCCTCCAGGCAGTAGTGCACCAAAAGAAGACTGTTAAGGGTTGATGACTTTAAATAATGAAACTGAGGTACCGATCTACTCTCTCCTGTACCTAAAGATATTTTTGCTTCCAGATGCCGGTGGAAAGTTGTAAAGTAGGCGAAAGGAACAGTTCATGGTAGTGCTCATCAGGGTGCGCCTTAGTATGTACCTGCGTTCTAGGTCAGAGACGATCGAAATATAGGGGCATTGGGCGGATGAAAATGTGATAGCTGTGTTTGAAAAAGAAACGAAACCACAGATGAGCTTTGCACAAGCCAATTTTTTTCTGGTAAGATAGATAAAATACTTTATGAACTAATACATTGCAGCCATAGCTGGCTGAATTACGTTCAGATTAATTAATCTGAATGTAATTCAGCCAGCTATGACTAAATAATATCGATAAGAGATATGACGATTTATATAAAAAAGAAAATAAAGTACATAAATAAGTTTAAATGAAATAAGAAAGCTAGAAATATGTACAATCCTTACGCTAAGCTCACGAGCAAACTTACACGACTTCCTAAGCGAATAGTCGCAGATGTTCCCAGGTGGAAGGAGCTTTTGGAGAAAATGCTGCAAAACAGCGGTGACCTCGCAACTAACATTTTGGTGTCATTGCCTATCTCCAACGTGAAAAAATTTAAAACATTTCCAATGACATGATTTTGATCAATCGATTTTTTGACCACGTAGCCGTTGAGAGGAGTTTAAAAACTACTTTTAGAGCGTGGCGCAAAGTTTAAAAATAGTTTTAAAAAATATCTTCAAGTTCTCTCACTCATCCTCCCTTGCAACCATTAAATCCTTCGTTATAACTTGACCCGTTCACATGACTAAGGAAACTTAATGAATATAATTGATTTCAATATAAAGCTGTCTCGAGAAACGTTGTGGAAAAGAAAAAGCATACAAGTGCACACAACAACGCCAAAAGGTATTTTAAGTAGTTTTCAGGTCACGGTTCCTTAACGCAAGACTCATTGTACGTACGAGGCACAACGGGTTTGATGATTTCATTATATTTATTTGTTTTATTAATTCTTTGATTACCAGATACCCAGGCCATCTTTCGAGATTTTCACTTGCAATTTTTTTCTGACAACTTTCGCCATTTTTCTCGAAAAAGCTGCATATTAAAATAGTGGCAAGCGTTGAAGGCGCGCTCTGATTGGCTACTCCGAATGCCCTTTGCTATTCACCTACGAACATCTCCCGTGGGACTTAAGCCCGAAAACATTGTAAACGCTGCAGGAATAAATGAGATAAAATAATATTTTCGTTCTACATTATCTCACTGTTTTAGTATATAATAAGCAATCATTCACTAGAGTGGAGGTGATTAGGGGTGGATATTACCACTGGCTGCCTCCTCTTCGGTGAAGAAATGTTAAGTAATTTAAGAGATACAGGCATCCATGAGGATACGAAGTGATAAATCAACAAAGTCTTGCGCTCGAGATCTCGTAATGATTTCAGGAGAATATTCCACGGTCCAGTACAGCTGGTCATTGATCGTAAATATTTCGTTTCCAGTGATAAAAGGAAACTTGGCACTTTGAACGGCAAAATACGCACCAGCAAACTTGTAGGGAGATTTTCCTTCTTGATCAATGGACAGAACTCCGAGGTTAGTCAAGTTGAATAGTTCTTTTCGTTGTCCATGCTTGGTTTCAGAACAAAATAAATTCCACAAGGATGGTAAGTTCACACATTGTATTAATTTTAAAAAGTTCATGTGCTCTCCTGAGTCGATCTTTCGGTGAACTTTGTTTGTACAAGTGCGCGAGAAATCCCAGAACTCCTCTGTTCCTTTCACTTCAATTTGAAGTGCATCGAACATTGCATACAGCCCAAACTCTTCTCTTCCAAGTTTGGGTTCACATTGTTGTCGGATGTCAACAGTATAATTACTGTCAAACAATAACGGGGGTTTTTGTTCAGTTTGCTCCGGTTCAATAATTTGTTTCATGGCTAAGTGAGTTGCTGCAGTAATAGCGCCGTGCACTGTACAACCATTGGCCTTACAGCAACTTACTAAAGCCATTGTTTGTTCTTTAGTTAAGCGTCGAGGTATTGCGTGCGTGGTCTGTGCCAGTGAATCACGAACATTGGGAGGAAACTTTAATAAATATAAATTTGCCATCTTGGGTTTGCGAATCATAGCGCTTAGCTTACTGCACCCCACGAGCAGTGGAATTAGCAATCTTTCCAAAATATTTGGTTTGGTTAGATTCAATGTCATGCGCTCCAGTGTTGGACGAAACGCTAGAGTTTCAACTTTCATGGCCTTCCCGTTGTACAGTGAGCCCAGGAATTGCAGCAGTTTGTTTTTAAATTCAAACACAGATCGGGCATCGCAAATGATATGATGGAAAGTAAATAACAACGCATTTTTGTAGAGAATTCCTTCACCTTCGCTTTCAGTAGTCTCCCTGAGTAGTGTTACACGCCATAAAGGCCCTTTCTCAGTGTTAAATGGTGCACAATTGATATGTTCGTTGAACGCACTCATCCAGTTTTCTGAGTCTATGTCCATTCTTGTTTGAAATTCCAAACTTTGCGGGTCCTCCATCTCTTCAAAACATTGCTGGAAGACATTATCGACAGTTATACGCATTCGTAGTAATGCAAATCGTTCGGACAACATAAGCAGAGCTGTTTTCAGATGCCCTGGATCAAGTTTTACTTTAGATTCCAGCAGGAGCACAGTGTTCAGGTAGCAAGTGCTGTATCCTGAGGCGATGATTGAGAAGTATCTTTCGAAGGAACCTAGTCGGCGAGAAATCTTTCCAGTACCCGTGTGAGAGATTTCGTCTTCATTCTCACGCATCAGAACATGGCGAAGTAGGCACGCAATGCCAACGGCAAGAACGACTGAACAACATATAACCAGGGGTGAAATCGACGGAAACAACGAGATCAACATCGTCAGCGATCCTTTTTAAATCTCGAGTGAGACCTGTGGCAGTTAAAGGCGTAGCAGATATTTACCTCCTTATTTGAACTTAGTGTAGGATCTCTGGAGCGTCACCCGCTTTTGTGTCATGGTCTCCTGATCATAGATTTCATAGCATAGATTTCTGAATGCACTCCTCGTGATATTATCAGCATCTGGAGACACGCTTGACGGATTTAAAAGAATCAGAAATTCTAGTTTGCAAGGATTTATGTAAAGGTCGCTATAATATCGGCTATAGGCATCTTTGCACTTCTTTTCCTTTTCATTTTCGCTTAGATTTCCATTTCCAAAAAATTTTTGTGGAGCCTCCCTTCAGAACAGATCGCTGATCACATCTAGTATGTTGTGACATCTGCCTGCAGCATTCCAACGAAGACGCCATGGTCGGTTAACTCCATTGAAGATCACAGGGGTGGCACACTAGGCCAAAATCCCACTCAGAGTAATGATCTTAACGACAACAAAACTTAGTGTGGATGAACCATATCGTAATAAACAGCAAACATCAGAATGCAACACATGCACGGGAAAACTTTTTAGTACTCTAGTAACTGTCTGCAATTGGAATCTCGTTTTATATGGCAAAGAAAAAAAATTGTTGATTATAACGTACACCATCTATGCTTCTGTCCTCCAGTAGATCATTACTGAGAATGCATATGTAGTTCAGATTATTATAAAGCTTAAAATCGTCTGTTCACCGACGAAAGACCTTTCAGTGTAGATCCAGCAACCACGCCTGCAACATCCTGCAGCTTCTGCCAATCCCATCAGCATAACCTGAAGAAGGCGACCTACTGATGCTATGCCTTGCTAAAGGGTAACCCGTGAATTTTGGCTAGATAACTTGTTCAATTCTTCTCTCAAATCGCTCTTTAGTCTCCATGATCCTTAAGGCCGTTACGCTATGTGCGAGCTGAGGACCTAGTGAGTGGATCACCACATCAAGGAACCAAGACGGAACCAGGCGCAGCGAAGGACCTCAGCTGATGGTTAGGTAGTTCCGCGGAAAAAGACTTAGAGATTCGTTAAGCATGAGCATAGAGTAGCTGTCACAAGCAAGAAAATATTGAACTCGACACATCAAGGTGAGATTTTTTATTACTTATTGCCTCCATTTGCGAAAAACGTCGCAAGAAGAGGAATATGGTTAGCTTGTACGTTTATATACCGAGTCTACAGAATCTCTACGCGTCCACCTTTGGAAGTCAACCAATTGCAAAGGAGTAATTGATAGAGGTATTGCAGCTCGCAGGATTGCAGATTGGTTTGCTTGTTCGTTTATACACCGAGCTTACAGAATCTCTACTCGTCTGTCTTTGGTAGTCAACCAATTGCAAGGAGGTAATTGACAGAGGTATTGCAGTTTGCAGGACTCGTGTGGTACCGCACGGGGTCGTAGGGGACATTTCGACAAGGAATCCTGGGATCTACTGGGATCTGTCAGAAAGAAATAATGCGAGAAACTGGGAACTAGTGTTTTGGTTGTGGAGTATTACATTTGGGTTGAGAAGTTGCACAGTTTGCTCCAACAGATAATTATTTACTTTCTTTAGCATGAGAAATACAGCGAAGTCTTTGTTTGAAAAGGGGTTGGTTTCTTGTTGTTCGTCGTTGATTTTCTTCAATGCCGTCGAACCAGAGCGAGGCCAAGTGCGTCATAAATTTGAACACGTTGCCTGACGATGTCTTGTTGGCCATTTTACGTTTCTGTGATACAAAAAGCCTGTCGGTGTTGTCTCGTGTGAGCAGGAATCTGTGTCGTGTGGCGAAGGATGATTCCATCTGGAGAAGAATTGCTTTGCAGTGTGTTAATGTTCATTCCTCCGACAAAACGTAAGTTAAAAACAGATTGATAAGCCCCACACGGGTCCCCTCGGGGTACTTTGGTTGTAGCAGAGAACGTGGCTTGGGTCATGTACCGCCGTATTTCCTCGAATTAACGCCCGGGCGCTTATTTGAAATTTTTGGCTAAAGGAGGGAAGGAGGGTGCTTAATCGAGGGGGCTGTTTATTGTTCCCTTGTTCTTAATCTACTGTAGTTTAAGCTTCAAGAGTTAAAAAGAAAGTGGCAATAGAAATAGAGTTTTCCTTGTATCCTTACTATTTAACCCTTTAACTCCCATGAGTGATAGGTAGTAATGCTAGGAAGCACAGAATTTCTCCTTACAATATCAGTACAATATCAACTAGATAAGTGATGAGAATAAGGAAAAATATAAACTTGGGGATGATTAGTTCAATACTAAATTCCCTGAACTAACACTGTAAGAAATGTATGATTGACAATAAGGAGAATGACAAATTTGATCTGGGAGTTAAAGGGTCGAGAGAGTGAAAGAGGAGGGTGGTGGGGGGGGGCCTTATTCAAGAGGGGTGCTTATTTGACATTATGGCCTAGGGAAGAGACACTTATTAAATCATAGGGTAATTTAAATTTGTCAAGATTTTGGACATTTTAGGTCTTGATACTCCAGTCATATTGTGAGAAGTAAAGTATTTGTAGTAGATCTTCTAATGCATTGGATATCCCTTTAACTCCCAGAAGTAATCAATATGAAACTTCTCCTAGTGATATCCTTACATTATCCAGCAAACAGCTAAAGAGATTATTCAAACTTATCAGGTAGAAGTTGTTGTCCTGATTTTAACAACAACTTCTTATAACTAATTTAAAAGGATATGTCTAGCAGCTAGATGAGAGAATTACCAATCAGATCTTGGGAGTTAAAAAAGGATGTGAGTAATTATTAAAGATGCTTGATTTGCATAATAAAATAAACCCTCTCTTGTACAGTGAATAAACTGCATGGGAACTACTAAGATCAATTTTTGCTGGGTACGTGCTTCTGACCTCTCAGAACTCCTACCCCTATTACAGTCTACTCTGTGGCCAATTATATACCCTATCTTTGTCACATTTGGGTAAATGTAATTTTGTCATGACCCTAAAGTTAATAAATTTTTAATTAGAAATCTTACTTACTCAAATTTTCTTAGCTCAAAAATCCCCAAAAATGTGTGACCCATTCCAGTAACTCAATTGAAAATGCAAACCCAGTCATAACACATCCCCATTAGTGTATTTCTAGAAGGTACCTCCCCCCCCTGAGAATAAAAATACAGCTCAAGTTATATGGAAGGAGTCACCCCATACCTTAAATTTTAAGGGCTGCCCAATTTCTAAAAAATTGTGGGAATATAATTTGCAAGATATGAAATTTTTCTTAATGCTGATCAACATAAACATAACCTGGAGGTATTTTGGAATACATCCTCATTTGATCAGGGCTATGGGGAGTGTTTTCAGTAATGGTAGTATAACTTCCAAATGCATTTATTTAGAAATTATTTGCCAGAAAGTGTATTTTAGGTGTTATATAGCCATTGAATTTAGCTACGGAAGTGGCCACTGTTTATTACAGTGACTTCAATCATCATCTTGTTTCCTGAGTGTTTTAATAATAACCACAACTTGAATTATGTATCAGGGGCCTTCTAAGCTGGAAAGAGCTTTGTAGAGTCTCGTGGAACTGGACACATGGATATTGTAAAGACAGATTTATAATCAGGTTTAAATGCAAGTAAGTTCATACCCTTTTTGTCAAAATTTTTGAAGAAACTGTGGTGCTGCATTGATGAGGATCATTACAAGATAATTTGGTTTTGTCAACTGAGTTTTAAATTGTTTACTGTACCAGCTTTAGAAACTCTTTATGTGCTGGCCAATTTACTTTATCAACTCAGTCAATAAAACCAAATTATCTTGTCTGAGCAAAAGTCAAGGACTCTTCTGTACCATAAAACCCTACTAAATTTTAGCCCTATCTTATGCTCATACAGGGTAAATCAAAATCAAAACTTGATTTTTATCCAGAAGTAATGCTTCATGTCTATCAAGCAACTTACTTCACGTAATGTTCTCTTTAACCCTTTGCACTTCGACATGGGTATCTATATTCTTAATACTGTTCATAAAACATCATTCTATTTACATGTATATGGAGCTGACATGGAGAATTTGTTTTCCTATCAAGAGAATCTCTAATTGGCGATCTGTTTCTCTACTCTCATGACCTTCATTGTTTGATTCAGCAGTAAAACTGTAAGGAGAAATTAGATGGCAATCTCTCTTAAGGTGAAAGTGTTAAGTGGGTGAATCGTTTAAAATTTTTGATCAGTTCTATATCCATTAATTGGATGGATGCATTTTGAAATTATCACCTGTATGATAATTTTTTTCCTTGCAGCCAATCAAAATGAGCACTTAGAGAGCAGAGTTTCTTGTTTAATTTTTGTACACAACTGGATGTAATTGTTGAAAATTAAGCCTCTATTAACTCAAACATCAGTATGCATATTCTCCATGAAGTAACCTTGCATTTCCAAGGGTACTGACAAGGATTTTTTTTTTAACCATCAAGAGCTTTAGTTGGTGATCATTTCCCCTTATTCATGTGGCCTTAATGCTTGATTCAGGGGAGATGTTGAAAGAAGAAATTAGAAGCTTGTCACTCTTGGGCATCAATGGGTTCACAATGGACATGAACAGTTTAAACGTATCTAAAATACTCTTTTGTCATTTTTTAAGCCTTATGCCGTGGATTCAACTTGGAAGACATCGTGAACTCTTTGTTGCCCAAGCTGCTGATGTTATCTTGTATCAGATAAGAAAACACAATAAGGGAGGACATTTTTCATGGAAACCTTTGATGACCATTGGTGGTCACCAGGGTGATATCAGTAAGTTTGTGATAACTGGAGGGCAGTTGTTAACATGTGGTATGGACAAGTCAGTCCGCACATGGAATCTGGAAACAGGAATATGTAATGGCCTATACCTTGGGCATACTGGACAAGTTCACAGTGTAGACTGTTTCAGAGAAGTAATTGTTTCAGGATCCAGAGACAAAACCATCAAGGTTTGTATGTTAAGTGTAGTTTCGAACTAGCACAGATGAAACACTCTGGCTCGGCTGAAGCATGTAATTACCAGTAATATGCATTGATTAAAAAAAATTCAAATTCTATTACAACTGTCATGTTATCTTTTAATTATAAAGATGATACCTTTTAACTCCTATGAGTGACCAAGAAAGAATTTCCTGTTACAATATCAGCACAACATCAAGCAGACAAGTGGCAAGAAAAAAGAAAATATCAATTGGGGGTTATTAGTTGATCCAATTCCAATATTTCGTTGATTCCCCTGAACTAACTTCAGAATTGTATAGCAGGCAGTAAGGAGCTGAATTACTGAATGATGTGTTTTTGAGAGTGAAAGTGTTAACCCTTCAACTCCCAAGATCTGATTGGTAATTCTCCCCTTTAACTACTACACATTTCCTTGTAAATTGATTACAAGAATTTGGTGTTTGATCAGGATAATGTGTACCTGATAAGTTTGAGTATTCTTACTACCTGTTTGCTAGGTAATGTATGGATACTCTAGGGAGAAGTTAAATGTTAATCACTTCTGGAAGTTAAAGGGTTAAATTGTCTGGTAGTGAAGCTAGAACTGGCTAGGGCTCAAAAATGTACATGATCTAAAAATTTACCCACATTTCTTGGTATTAAAAAATACAGTTGTTTATTCTAATTTTCCCTTTTCTTTCCCTACTCTTTTGGATAGTGGAGATTGACATGGTTTAATATTCATAATCCAATCCTCTAAGCCATGTTTTGTAAATTATTAAAAAGAAGACTCTTTGACTCATTTAGGTTTGGTGCCAGCAAACCCAATCTTGTCTTCACACCATTGACATTCAGGATAATGTTTGGACAGTATCCCTTAATCCAAGCTCTAGGTATTTTCATTTTATTAACATTTTAACAGAGTTCCTTTTTTAATGGAAATATAACAAATTGAGATTAATATGTATTTAATAAACTTAGACAAGAAATTGAGTTGAAGCCTTGCTCACCATAGAGGCTCTGTGGCTTAGTGGTAGAGCATCAGAGCACAGAATTCAAAGGTCTGAGGTTTGATTCCTCATGGGGACTCAGAAGTTTTTCTTTGTCCCATGTTCATGACAAGATGAAAAAAACGTCTTTCTCTATTTCTTTACCAAGCTCAAAACTTACCATCTTTCTTAATCTATTTACAAAACACGACAACACTATCAACGTTGCTGATTCTACCAGTATGCAGTATGCATGTCATATGTGAATTTTGTAATGGGCCCTCAATTTGCTTTATCAGGTGTGTAGCGAGTGGAAGCAGTGGTCATACCAGAGACAGTGCTCCTTTGCAGTTGTGGGATATCAACAGGTGAGCTGACTCTTACCATGATTACAGTATTTTGACTGAAATTTTTAAGCTAAGTGTGTCTTGAATTCCTTATCCTAAAGCCCTCTTAGGAATTGCTTTATTCAACCCTCTAACTCCCAAGATTCAATTGTCAACTCTCCCCTCTAGTTGCTACACATTTCCTTACAGATTATTTGATCAAGATAAGAACCCTTATCTGACAAGTCTGAGTATTTCCATTACCTGTTTATTGAATAATGCAAGGATATTACAGGAAGAAGTTACATGTTAATCACCTTTGGGAGTTAAAGGGTTAAGAAATCTGTAGAATCTTGGAGATTTTATTTACATCAGAATTGCCAATTTTACACCCAAGCCTCACTTCTAAGGTATAGTCTTGTGAATTTTAATTTTAACAATTCCAAAAATATGACAAAGAAAAATGTAGTGTAAACAAGTAAAAGGTTAAATTTTCTGCTAGTGAGTATATATGCAATCATGCCTAAGGGCAATGTTTCAGACAAAAGCAAAATGTAATTATTTTAATTTGCTCTTTTAGTATGACTGAGGGTGGTCTGTTTTATGATGTGTTGACATAAATACTTAAACATTTCTGCAGTGGAAGGCACATTATGAACCTGTTGACAGGATCAGCCCAAGCAGGAGCAGGGGTGCGTGGGATCAAGTGGGAAACTCCCTTTACACTTCTGTCCTGTGGATACGATACAACTGTTAGACTGTGGGATACCAGACTTCATAACCACAGGTTGATACTTGTCATTCTTTTCATGCCTTAATTTTCTGACATTTTGAAATATAGGTCCATCCTGGCTTCCTTTTTAAGCCTGTGGGCTTTCATCTTTTGCAGCTCTTGTGATGCCCTTTACCCTTATGTGCTCCTTACCCCCCCTATTTAAGGCTTCCTAAGGTGCTACAGTATTCCTTTCGATTTCCTGTAATATTCAATCAGTGGGAGGCCCATACTTTTAAGGGTTGCCTCCTTGTAGTTTTGCCATTTCTACTTGTCCAATTGCAGCTTTTGCTGTATCAGAGGCATTTGATATGTTGACAGGTCTGACACACAACTCCTATGCATGGTTTCCTTTGCCCAACTACTGTAGCTCATTGCTTTAGTTTCTTTATCTTAAAATTTTCTGTGACATCAGTGTCTTTCCTTGTTGACTTATCTTTTTTTTTAATTTTCTTTAATGGTGCAATGCTGAGTTAAATGCAAAAAAACACTGTGAGAAACTACTTCTGCAAACAGGAAAGAGTCCATTATCAGATGGCACATATCATGGTGTCCTAGAGAATTAATAGCCTTGCATGAGCCATTTCTGATTGACTGGTCATTGTCCCGATATTTCTGCTGTTTCATTAGTGCTTCATCATGTGTACGGAAGTGGGAAGACCCTCATGATTCAGTGGTTTACTGTATTGATTCTGATAACAAGTGGATGGTGATCAGTGGAACCAACCGTTATGGAGTGGTAAGCAAAATTTGTATCACTTTGTGGGTAAATGGTTTTTGGGGCTAAATATATGAATGAATCTTGACCAACTTTTATTAGTATTTTTTACTTGTGACTTCTTCCAATACTATTTTCCTGAAGTTTAACAGTTGATCATTAATGACAGTCTGCAGTTACTTGAGGTTAAGATTTATTAACCTCAACCCTTTTACTCCCATGAGTCACAAGAGAGAATTTCTCCTTACAATACCAATTCAACACCAAACAGATAGAGATTTATCTGGTGGATAGCGTTATCCAACCCTCAAACAACTGGGGCCTGAAGTTTATTTAGAACTAATAAAAGTGTAAAAGGCAAGGTAGAACATAATATACCGGTATTTGCGCAATGAAAATGTGCAAGTTTTCCCCTGGTGTTTAATTGTTCAGTTCATTTTAGATACCATTTTTCATAATCTTTCCAAACAAATAACAACAATAGCAAAGGAAACAAGCTAACAAACAAAAAACAAAGACAAAAAAGAAACTTAAGATGAAAATCAAATAGGGTGAGGAATTAGTTTTCTAGAGAAAGAGAATTTAAAGCATAGCATAATTATGTAATGATAACCTCTCATTTGTGTGAGGAAAATTTTACCAAATCTTTTTCTTGTGGTAAATATAGGTCAGAATTTGGGACAAAAGGTTCAGAAAGTGTCTTCAGGTATAAGTGCATGTTTTTTACTGGTAAATGTTATCATCTCATGTTCAAACACTGTCCCGTTGTGTAGAAACCCAGACTTTGAAATACCTCGTTTTTGGACTGGGGTCTTTGTATCAGCAAAAAACATACCACTGTTTTCCTAACCCTTAGAGGACTAATTTTTGGGCTGTGATCTGTCAGGTGGAGTTGACTTGAACAATTCTCAGTGGTTTTTTGACTAAGAATGTCTTAATTGTTAAAGGCTTCTTGAAAAGGTGGAAAAATTGCCGATATTTTAAGTAATGGTGGTTGTTCTGCAGAACTGTGGTACAAGAGGCTGGGGTTGACACCCTGTCCTAGGTGATTTTTTTGAGTGTGTAGTAAAGCAGTGCCTGTTTCTACCACGAAGTAGGAAAGTGTAGTTGCCAATTGTTGGAAAATTCTACGCAGTGCATAGGAATTTCTTGGATGATTAACTGTGATCGTGGTAACTTCTTTGTTGCTTAAAATAGAGTTAGTACAAGTGATTCTAGGGTGTTGGACTTTCTTTCGAGATTCTTTGTAATACCCATGCTTTTCAGTAAATTATCATACTTGATGGTGAATTTAGCTCTGAGACAATGCGTTTTATTTTTACAGATGTACTATGCAGGCAGAAACTCATCCAGTCCAGTGTACTCACTGTCATTCAATAGAACATCACTTTATGTTGCTTTAGCAAGTGGTGTTCGTATGTTGGATTTCACTGTATGAGTGAGTTACTTGTAATTTAAAGGGTAATTGTGCGTTTGGTTGATTGTACATTTGGTTGATTGTACATAGTGAATTCTGCGTGCGTTCCGATTGGCTTATGCCCACGATCTATTGGAGGAAGTATTTTGAGATGTAGTTGTTACGGGGGCTGTTTTCTCTCTTCCGTGTTGCTTGTATCTGTAAAGTAATAACGCTTGTAGATGGTAGCAGTTGTCTTTGGTTCATGAGCTAGTTTTTCTAGTTGCCAGTTACTGTCTCTGTTACTAAGCAGATCCAAGGTAACACAGAATATGTTTGAAACAGATGTGTCATTGGATGTGCCACTGTACATGTGTGGTCGTTTGAGAGCCCATGTGGTGGTTACCTGTAGTGCCACTGGTCACATGTAGCTAAAATGTACCCAATCCATGCAGACTTTGTCCAAATTTGGTTATCATTAGTATCTCAACCCTCTATAAACAAGTCAGTTGAGAGTAGGAGGTCATAAGATTTAGAAAGAGAAACCCACTTGGTACACTGTAAAAGCGTATGACACCTTTCCAAACAGAACTATTATTAAAATACACCTCGGCTGAAAGCCGGTAATTAACTTATTCTTTTATCTAGCCTTGATGAGACTGTGAGTTGCCTGTCTTTTTTTTTTTTTTTTTTTAACGAAATGTGAGATCAAAGTACATGGGGCAACTTCTACCATCTTGTAATTTGAATTTGCATACCCGGTACTTGAACACATCTCAATAAACTACACCTCCGTGTCAAGCAAGGTGTTACTTAAAAGAGAATGGCGTTTCGTGTGTTTTGGTTTTTAAAGAGAAAGATGCTCCCTTAAAATTTTTTGTGTACTCCATACAAACAATTCTCAAACAGGCAACCTATTCATTTCGGCCATGCATTATTTGTTGATTACATTTAAATCTGGTGTTCAACGCTATGAGTTTCATTACCATTTATGTATATTGCATTTTTAAATCGCGTGCTTTTCCGTGAGCGGAGTAGATGTTGTTAGATTTTTTCATCTGTTGAATACTGTTAATAGTTCCTTTAGTTAACTAAGGATAAGAATAAGGAGCCTCATGCTGCTTCGTCAAAAGGACAAAACTACTTGCTAGAAAATTAAATACAAGGGGAAGCTGATTGCCCGTCAGCGAAATTGCACTTTTCCTTATTCAGTGTTTACTCAATAGCATCAAAACTGTTAATTTCTCTTGTTGGACTTCCTAAGGGCATGTAAAATGAACGGAGCTCCGCTGGAATGAAGATATTGTTAATTTTGATTTCAGAGTTGTAATGTCTAGCCTTGTCGTAGAAAGTTTTGATCCGTTCCACCGTAGACTTTTGGATCAAAAAGAGTTGCGAGTGAATGTAGCCAAGTTGTCGATATTGATTTGCTAAGTGATGTTTGTACTCGTCACTAGTAAGCTGTTTTGCCTTGTGGACGTAATCCTCAGCTTCTTTGAGGTAACATATCAGATCTTTCCTTTGTCGTTCGCTACGGCATTTCTTCACGTACAGTGTGAATTTGCAACATGCGAACTGAAAAGCAGCAAAGGCGTTCGTTTGAGTTATATCGGCACCCATTGCCTCAAACAACTTGTGAGCATTTTGTGCAGCCTCTAACACTTGTTCTCTATTATTGCTTCGCCTTTGGCACAAATCAGCGGCCTTTCTGATAACGGAATCGAGATCATCACTGGTTGCACCTTCTTTCACTAGTTTATTCACAATTTCGACTCCGATGGAAATGTCTGGCATTTCTTCACTGACACACCATTTGCAAAGCTCTGTAATCAGTGGACTGGTTCGCTGTAACTTTTCAGAAATAAACTTTTGGTATGGTTGAACGTCGGGATGAGTTTGGTCATTGTCAAACAACTCGAGCAATTTGCGAATAATCATGTCTGGACACGTGGAAAGATTCTCATCAAGAAAATCCTTGAGGATATTTACTGCATCCTGCTTGTCACCCTTAGCACACAGATTGTCGACTTTTCGAATAACTGAGTAAGCTATGTACTTGGGATGGCCAGGAAGGCGAACGCGAAATTGTTCTGAAGTAAAGTCAAAGGCTGGCTTGGGGTTCCTGTTCTGTTTCATAGACTTGAAGATAGTCTTCACTCCCGTGAATCGTGCCTCAGCCAGTTTCTTTTCTTTCAGGAACTCTGCAATCCTCCTGTTCCTTGAAGGAACACACGGCACTTCACCTCCTTCTTTGAAGTGCTCCTTTGTAAGAGAGGGACTTGGACCTGGATAGCTTATGACATCAATGTAGTCTGGCTTGATATGGATTTTTATGGGATCGCAGTTGTAGTCTTCGTAACCTCTATGATGGAAGGCATTTACTACCGCTTCACGAAGTGCTCGCTCGGGATAGGCAACAAATTCATGACAAGCTTCCTCTTTAGTAGTCTTCAAAATGAAAGATAATACTTCTCGAATCTGTTGATCTATTGGTCCTGTGATACACTTTTCTTCTGTCTCATTGTCATGAGTATATATAGCAATTTCTGTTTTCGCCCCTCTAAAGAATTCGTGTGGTGATGGGTTAAAGAGCAAAAGGGCCACATTTCGTGGCACCCAGACTTTGTATAGTTGGTCGCCAATTCTCTTGTCTCCAACATATCGCAATAGTTTCAATTTGTCGTAAAAATATGCTGGCTTTTTCTCATCAGCGTGCTCTTGTAATTTAGACTGAATTTCTTTCAAGAATTTCTGCACAAGGCTGAAGTCTATGTCATCTTCGGACAACCTCTTCCCACATCCTGTTCAAAAGTAAGAAAACGGATCACTAAACCTCTACTGACACACAATTAATTTATGAGCTGAGCTTCTTTTAAGTTTTCAGAATAATTTTGGGCTGTATATTTTTCACCCTAGCCTTTTTTGATTTTCAAACTAGGTGAGCCTCAATCAGCTTATTTGAAGGTGATTGCTGAGTGCTCCTTATGACATTAGATGCCCTCGTACGGTAACTGTCGCCACAGTTAAAGTTGGACGTCAAGGACAGTTAAAACATATTTCTCCTTTTAACGTAATGTTCATTACACCTGAAAGCGAACTTTCAAACAATATAAATGTAAAGTTCTTTTTAGTTTTCATTTTATTTCATCACTATTCTTTCAAAAACATTATAGGGTTCCGGAGGTTCCGCGGTCAGCCGTTCCACGGTTTTTCAATACCCACAGAAACATTGTAAACGATGATTATCTCGTTACAGAGCATTTCTTTTTTGAGCAACTGTGAGGCGAAGCGTGAAATCGGAATGGAAAATAATATAATTTGGCGCTGCAGGCGAAGAAAGATTTGGATCGAGCGTCTAAATATGATGAATTTTGGAATCGGAAATTTCATAAACGCAGAATATTATTTTAAGCCATTGTTGTGTACCACCTGAGGTGTGCATTTTGTTATTCTGCAGAGTTGGATTGTTGTTAATATCATTCTGGATTTCTCCGTGATTTTCTGAAAGCTTTCGAGCAAAGTCGCGAAGAGAGACCGTAAAAACCTCGAGACTTCAGTCACTTTAATTTTTACAATGCAAGTTTTGCTGCAAGACTACTAATTGCAAGTTCACAGACATATTTCACTTCTAGAATACTTAATTCATACGTTCGCCGGAAACGGTCCTCAAACAACTCCATATTTCTCTTTGAAACATCTACCTTTATTTGAAATCCTCAAGTGCTTCTAGAAAGTGAAGAAATTCGAACGTTGTCAGTTTCGCCGACCCAGCACACAGAGTGCAAAGAGATCTAAACGTGACACTTCGAGAATTTTCTTTGGACACGACCGGACACGGTCTTCGAATAACTAAACGTTCTGCCGTTCGATATTTTTCCATATTTCTCTTTGAAAAATACCAATTTCTATTGGAAAATATTTTTATCTTGATTTGGAATCCCTAAGCGTTTACAGAAAGTGAAAAATTGGTATATTACGCAAAAGGTTCTGGTTTTGGCGGTCAAATGAGTAGTTATTATTGATCAGTCACGTATTTCTCCCCCATTTCTATCTCAGTATGCAAATTGAAGAGAACTCAGAAAAGCCTTAAAAACTGTTGAAGTTTTTATTTTATCTTTCCGTAACAGATGAAAAATACTTCAGTTTCTTACCATAGTCAATTGCCCTCCTGTCATCAAATGGAATCTTATTTCCTTGGCGCAATAGTTCTTCGATTTGTTCAGGAGTCGCCTTCTTGGTTTCTGTTCCTTGCCTCACATAATAAAGATCCCTTCCTTTTTCGCTTTCTCTGCATGTGTGAGGCTTGTTATCAGAAGCCATGGCCCAGATAACCAGCACATGCTTCGTTATTCCTCCAGTGCACTCGATCACTTCAGGTGAGATTATAGGACGATACTCTGGCTTTATTTGAGCCCTGCAAGCTCCATTTATTTCCTTCTGTATTTGATCAAGTTCCTTTGCTGGAACGCCGAGTGGAGGATAGTTGGTTTGTCGATCGTCAGAATCTTCCCAGCTTTCTTTCTTGTCCTTCTCATCAACCCCGATGATAATGTATCCGCCATTGTCGTTGAAGAAGTCGTTGGCGTAGGCCGAAATTGTGTGAACGACTTGCCAATACGTGCCGCCCTCTCGTTTTCCATGCCATGCTTCCTTAAACTCAACTCTTTGTTTCTCTACTCCTTGCAGTCGCAACAGATCGTTCACATTTATCAACAAATTTGAAGTACTCCGAGCCATGGTCTGCCGTGTCTTGTCCTAAAGAGGTGGACAAATATTGTTAATTTCCAGACGTCACGAAATACTTGTCAGACTTATTTATAAATTCACAAGTTTCCATGGTGATAACATAGTGATCAGTTTCCGATTATTGCGATGGAATGTTAAGGACCCACGAATCGGAACTAAAAGGTTTTGGTTAAAATTGTGTACCTTGTACCATGTCTACGGTCATTTCACATTCCCGCACAGATCAGTGATCCCCTTGGTCTCCTTCGCAGCTTTTATTTGGTACGTCATGGAGAGCTCCCCCGAGAGAAACGGCTGCTTAAAACCCGAACAACATTTCTTTCCTATCGTTCTAGCGGTTTGTTTGCGGTCTAGTGATCAGATCAATCATATGGCAAGAAATGTGGAAGTGACCTAAGGTTTGTCCAAACTGTATGTGGTGGTTATTCTTGCAAATGCTCTTGATCAAGGCGGGGGATACACCGAAAGATCGAGAAAGAGGTCGAGGTGGAGAGCTCTCAGTTCTTCATATGTTCAACGCTAAGCCCTCTCACATCAGCGCTACCAAAGGCGAAACCTCTCTCGTTAAAAACGAGCGGAAGAGCCTGATTTATTAATGATTTTCCGGATCCTGTATATGTAGGCAAGTTAACAAAAACGTCTTCCTTTTCTACGACAAATTTTCGAATAGCAAGTCTCTGGTAAGTATTGAGCTCTGATATTTTGAACTTTGAGGACGCCAGATGAAGAGCCTCTTCGAGCGCCGCCATCTCGGTTTGAGTTATATTTTCCGATGTTGGTCACGTCTCATAAGGCTAATTTGGCTCGAGAGGCTCCCGAAAAATGGAAGGCTCTCTGTGATTGGTAAAAAACGGGAAAGAAATGTTGTTAGGCTGTAATCAGCCAAGCGTTGCGTGACATCCCAAAGTGCGGCGGCGAAGGAGACTATGATTTCCTTGGCCCATCATGGAAAGAAAAAGATTTAAAAAAGGTTTGCAAACATACAACTTTAAAATAATTTGCAAAGCTTTAATTAGAACAACAAACCCTCTCTTGCTTACACAATTATTCTGACTGAAGACCAGTTCGCTTTTACCTTTTGTCTCCATTGATTTCTTTTTTCTAGTACTGTAAACCTATTTTTTGTCGTAGTGCTTGATGAAAATCACATCTAGGCGACACGCCGTGAAAAATGTCAACACTGGTTACACGTTCTCTTATTTCGTAACGAAATTATAGAAAATCACGACAGCTTTTTTGACTCTGCGTCTCACAAAACAACTACAAAGATCGAGGCTGCGCGAATTAAAATGCCTCTTGTGGAACCTCGTTGGCTAATCCCAGCGTTCATTCTAACCCCGGTATTAGCTAAGTCACGTATTTCCACCATGGAAAAAAGAGGAGAAACCTGATTTCTGATCAAAGAGCCGTGAAGTTTGTCGCAAAAATTTTTAGATTTATCTTACTATGGAGGATTTCTCACCTGGAAAGAGCTCAAAACAGATTTCAGTTCTTTTTAAACTCTTGGGAAAGTTTAGAGGATAAACGCATTAGTCCACGGGAAAAGGAAAAACAAGCCAGAAAAGTGCTCAAGGTGATTCTACCAATATTGGCTTAGCTTAGTTAAGCTAACATTTCTATTTAGAACCCCTAAGCAGAAGAACATGTTTCATCCTAAAATGCGAAGCGGGTTCATTTTCACAAGCTCCTTAATATTCTTCCAAAGAAAAATGTGAACCTATATTTAATAACTTGCGTAGCCTTATTTTTCTTAAACCTCTAAAAGTGGACTTTTTGGGACTACCTTGGAGAAACTGCAGGTGCAAATTTTTAACGAAACCTCAATCCAATTTATCTTTACTGTGTCTCACTTTGTACATGTTGTTAGAAGTCTCAAAAGTGAGTCCACGTTCTCTTTCTGGGAGTTGGATGTCTGTTTCAAGCTTTCGAAAAATTGTGGAAGCTCCTAGAGTCTAATTATTTACGTACCCTTACTATCTCTGCCTGGCAGGAAGCTTCGGGTTACACTGTGGATGAAAATGGTTACAAATGAATTCTGACGCTTTTCAAGGTAGTTTTGTTTCCTCTCACACCGTTCATGATGCATGCCGTCATTAAATACCCAAGGAAAAAGAAATGAATAGAAATGGCCTACTTAAAGAAAGCTAAGGAATTCAAGACGTGGAGCTAAAAACTCCATCACGGAAGCAGTTCACCACAAACCAGACACAGAAGGTTAACATTTAGACGAGATAAGTTGTTAACAACTCTTGATGTAATGTTCTTATTCCAAAACAAGTACTAGGTTTTTTCTCAATCTGTTGAATGCGCCTCAGTGTATCTTCTGCAAAAGTGCCCCTAGAAAATAATGGTAACATCGGATCCTAAAGTACAGGTGAAGATGAAGAAGGTGATTAAAGCGGTTTATGGTGTCATTGTCATGCTGATGGTGCTGGGAACGGTGTAACTGGCGACGGTGGTGAATGAGTGTGTAGTGCTTTTCGCACATGAAAGTGACGTGGTCGGGAAGGTGGCTTTCAGTGTTGTGATGGCGAGGAAGCTCGTGATAACAGTTTGTGCTGGTCGAGATTAAATGTGATGGACTTTGGAGATTACAGTGCTAGTAATGAAGGTGACCATGATTGTGGTAACGGCTTTTGCTGATAGCAGATGTGGTAGTAAAGATTACATTGTTGGTAATGATGGTGTTCAAGCTTTTGGTAATAGTTTGTGCTACTGGTAAGTCTAGTGGGGGCAGTATTTGATGGTGATTGGATGGGGATGCCGGTAATGTTGGTGTTGAAGCTCTTGATAATATTTTGTGTCGGTGGCCCATGCAGGGGTGTTGTTGTTTGTTAGTGACGGCGGCGATGCTCCAAGTGTTGATTTTGGTGAAGCTGGTGATGAGACTGCTTTTAATGACGGTGAGTGTTGGTGCTTGTGATAGTCATGGCAATATTGATGCAAAACGATGGCTTTGTTGACAGTTATGGTGCTGGTGCTGCGAGATGATGCTTATGGAGCTGGGTTTAGAATACGTGTCAATTATAGTGCAGCATGACAGGAAGACGATTATTCTTGTGATGTTTTTGATGATGGTGAATTAGATGATAATAGTTTTTCTGTATAATGACTGTTTTGGGTGATGATGAAGGTGGCGGTGTTCTGGTGGTCATGGAGACGATTCTAGCGATGGTGCTAAAATGGCCACAGTGCCGAGAGTATTAATGGTGGTTTGTGAAGAAGATTCTGGCGCTCGTAGTGCAAAAAAAGTGGTAAAGCTGTGTAGTTCTGGAAGTGAAGATACTAGTGTGTCTGTTATGATAGTTAAATTTGTTGCTACTTTAGGCATTCATGGCAGTGTCAATGTTCATAAAACTGGCGATAGCAATAACGGTGGCCGCTGAGACAATATTTTCACTGTTCTTGTGCGCGAACCCACAGATTGGGGTCGATGTTTACTGACCAAAAAAAATCGGGCTTAACCCAGGAGTCGATATTTACGGTTAAAATTTCCGGGCTTTATTTATGATACACAGGAAGAGGTAGAGTATAAATCCATAGCGCAGCCACACCTCACTAAAATCACTGTAATTTTCTGAGTTACTAGCACATCGGGCAGAACCAAATGGGGAGAAAGTTTGTCTTTCTATAGCGAGAGTCTCCTACATTTTGATTATGGCGCTATTAAGCTTCCTCTCTATTATTTCCTGGTCAAGGGCTTCATTTCCCCCCTCACCCTAGCAAACCCTTTCTATCCCTTCTTGACCTAAACAAAATTTAACCTAAAAACGCGAGGTTATGCAAATGATAACAATTATACTGCAGTATATATTGTTATGCATCTGGCCAACACTTTGTATTCGACAGTGTGCCACTGTATGTCTTTCAACCGTAGAAATCTCTGCTATGCATGGTATCCATTGGATGAATGATGACACGCAGAAAAATTTATAGAGGACACTTTTGTTGCTAAAAGCGCACTTTCTATGGGTTTACTGACGTGATAACCACGCGGAATGTTGGGAGAACGCGAAGAAAGCTTGTAAACCACGAGCAGGAGAACGTAATTTTTTTCTTCTTATGTGAAGAAGTCGCTGGTCTTCAGTAAAGGCATGAAAAAGTGCGACAGACCAATCAAAGCGCAGGAAACTGAATGAACTGCCGGCCAGGAAAGAGCAAATATTGAAGTTAATTAATTAGAGGTTACGCATGACGTTTAAGTGAAACGGCGAATATGCATCTTTTTGAAATCGTTGAACTTTATCAGTCATCATTACAGCACAAAATAGCTTGATTTGTTGAAACTTAGGAACGTGATTTAAAGCAAACAACAATACAAAGCTCTCGACGCTTTGGTTTTTTCATTTTTTCCGGATAATCTTCAGATGAAGTAATTACAAGACAGTTGTTTTACCTCAAAGAAGGAGGAAAGAAACCTCTCCTCGAACCACACGATTGTTAGTACTTTACAACAGCATAAAAGCATACAGTTCGTTTTTTATTAAAGTGAAACTTCCTCCCTTCTCGTTGAAAACAGCAGAGAACAAACGGCAAACAGAAAAAATGGCGGGAAAAACTGGTCATGTGGTCATCTTTGCTATTTCCCGTTTGCCGTATACGTCATGCTTTAGTAAACCTCTCTCTATATTCTCAATGAATGGACGGAAAGGCATTCAGAACCCGAGCAGAAATTATGAAGAAAGCTCATGAGAGAGAGCGATATGTAAGATAAGGGCACAAACTATAAAGTGCCACCGAAGAATACTTCAGTTTGAACGGAGAAAATACGAACTAGTCTACCACTGCGAAGGTAATCTGGTAAGTTTCTGAAGAACTGTCGAACGAAAGCTAAATTGTGCATTTTCACTTTGCCAGTGGTTTTCATTTCCCTGTGAATCAAATTTTCAATAAGTTTCTGCGAGAAAATTCTGTTAGTTTGCCGCTACAATTTCCTTGAAGCAAAAAGATGGAACCTTTTTCCTTCTCGGCGATTAGTTTGGGGAAATTTA